TCTCTGTCAGGGGTCTGTCTTCAAACTCGGCCTTTTTGTGACTCATGGACTTCAACGCCCAGAATTCCTCGGCCAGCCTGCCTGGCTGAGGAATTCTGGGAGTTGAAGTCCACGAGTCACAAAAGGGCCGAGTTTGAAGACCCCTGTTCTACGTTCTAGGTCAGGACTAGGCCACCTTGGCTCTTTTATGACGGGTGGACTTCAACTCCCAGAATTCCTGAGCCAGCCTGGCTCAGCTTGGAAACCTCTCCCTTTCCCCTCAGCATGGCTGGCTCAGGAATTCTGGGAGTTGAAGTCCACGCGTCATAAAAGAGCCAAGGTGGCCTAGCCCTGTAAATCTATGCAAAGCAAGCGGCCCTGCCCCATCTTCCATCTGCTTCAGCCTTCTCCCCGCACATGCGCAAAGGGGCTCACCTCGTGCTCTCCTCCACCCCACGCCCCGTTTTTCCTCGCCTGCCATTTGGCATTTGGCAAATCTGGCGCAGCGATTGGACGCAGCGCCTGCCAATCAACCATCCCTGAACGGGGCGGCGCCGTGGACGCAGGGCTCCGCCCGAGCGAACGAAAGGAAAAGCAGCGGGGGCTGCTATTGGTTGCGCAATCCGCGTCGCTAGGGGAAGACGGGCCAATCGGCAAGCAGCAGGGATGCCCCGCCCCTCCAGGTTGCTCTCTTAACCCCTGCGCTGCTGAGGCGGAGCGAAGCCGAATAAGGGACAGAGAAGAGTAGGATAGTGCTATGCTATGCTAATATATATATTATAGTATATAATATAGTATAGTATATTTTCCAAGCAACTCCTACTCCTATAATATATATTAATTATATATTAATTATATATTATATTATATTATATTTTTATATTTTCCAAGTAACTCCTACTCCTATAATATATAATATTAATTATATATTATATTATATAGTATAGTATATTTAGTATAGTATAGTATGGTATATATATTCTATTATCATATTTTCCAAGCAACTCCTACTCCTATAATATATATTAATTATATATTATATTATATTTTTATTTTTTCCAAGTAACTCCTACTCCTATAATATATAATATTAATTATATATTATATTGTATAGTACAGTATAGTATAGTATATTTAGTATGGTATATATATTCTATTATCATATATTTTCCAAGCAATTCCTACTCCTATAATATATATTAATTATATATTATATTATATTTTTATATTTTCCAAATAATTCCTACTCCTATAATATATAATATTAATTATATATTATATAGTATAGTATAGTATATTTAGTATGGTATAGTATGGTATATATATTCTATTATCATATATTTTCCAAGCAATTCCTACTCCTATAATATATATTAATTATATATTATATTATATTTTTATATTTTCCAAGTAGTTCCTACTCCTATAATATATATTAATTATATATTATATAGTATAGTATAGTATATTTAGTATAGTATAGTATGGTATAGTATGGTATATATATTCTATTATCATATATTTTCCAAGTAACTCCTACTCCTATAATATATATTAATTATATATTATATTATATTATATTATATTATATTATATTATATTATATTATATTATATTAGTATAGTATAGTATAGTATAGTATAGTATAGTATAGTATAGTATAGTATAGTATAGTATAGTATAGTATAGTATAGTATAGTATAGTATAGTATAGTATGGTATATATATTCTATTATAGTATATTATATTTTTCAAATAACTCCTACTCCTATAATATATATTAATTATATATTATATTATATTATGGTATATTATATTATAATATAGTATATTTTTATATTTTCCAAGTAACTCCTACTCCTATAATATATGTTAATTATATATTATGTTATAGTATAGAATAATATTTTCCAAGTAACTCCTACTCCTATAATATATAATATTAATTATATTGTTGCTAATCCTTACCGGAACGTGAGTTCTTGTGTGTTGAGCCCGGCAGGGCTTGACATATATATTATATTATACTATATTATAGTATATTATAGTATATTATAGTATAGCATGGTATGGTATATATTATTATAGTATATTATAATATCTTCCAAGTAACTCCTACTCCTATAATATATATTAATTATATATCATATCATATCATATATATTATTACATTATATCATATTTATTATATTTATTCATTATATTTATTATATTATGCAGGTCATCCTTGACTTACGGTCACTTTCGTGACCGCTCAGACTTAACAACGGCACTCAAAAAAAGGTCCGACAGTCGTGGTTTTTTTTTCACCGTTACGACCTTTGCAGCATCGTGATCGACATTCAGACGCTTTGGCAACCGGTTCACATTTTACGACGGTCGCAGTGACTCGATCCGCTTTTGTGACCTCCCAACTAGTCAAAAGGGTTCAAAAGCCGGATTTGCTTAACGACCGCGGGACTCACTTGACAAATTGCAGGGACTGACTTCACAAGGGTTGGCCAGAGAAGTGGTAAAATGGGGGGCAAAAGTCCCCCAAGAAAGGTCCCTCTCAACCAGTTGCGGTCGTATAAAATAAAATAAAATAAAATAAATACAATTAAAATAATGTTAAATAAAATAAAAAATATATAGTATCGTATCGCATAGTATGTATCGTGTCGTATTTTATTTTATAGTATCTTATAGTATCGTACCGTGTTAGCATAATATAATATAGGTAGTCCTGTAAAAAAAGGAATAAAATCATAAAAGACAAATGAAATACAAACCAGTAAAATAAAATAAATAAAACCATAACATTAATAAAATAAAGATCAAGTAATAAAATGAAATAAAAATAAAATCGAAAATAGAATACAAATAAAAATAAAAAATAAAATAAAAAATAAATAAAAATAAAAATAAAATCAAAAATAGAATTAAATTGAAATGAAATAAAAAATAAAATAAATAAAATAAAACTGAAATGAAATAAAATACAAATAAAATAAAATAAAAATTAAATTAAATTAAAAATAAATAAAATTAAAATGTTAAATAATATAAAAAATATAGTATAGAATCGTATAGTATGTATCGTGTCATATTTTATTTTATAGTATCATATAGTATTGTATCGTATCGTGTTAGTATAATATAGGTAGTCCTGTAAAAAAATGAATACAATAATAAAAGACAGTAAAATAAAATAAATAAAACCATAACATTAATAAAATAAAGATAAAGTAATAAAATAAAAATAAAATCAAAAATAGAATAAAATAAAATAGAGTAAAAATAAAAATAAAAAATAAAAAATAAATAAAATAATAAAATAAATAAAAATAAAATCGAAAATAGAATTAAAATAAAATAAAAAATAAAATAAGATAAATAAAACTGAAATGAAATAAAATACAAATAAAATAAAAAAATAAAAAAATAAAAATGTTAAATAAAATAATAAAAAATAAATAGTATAGTATAGTATAGTATAATATAATATAGTAATCATATTTGTATAATAATAATATAGGACTATAGGTAGTCCTGTAAAAAAATGAATAAAACAATAAAATACAAATAAAATACCAATGAGTAAAATAAAATAATAAAATTATTAAAATAAAATATACAATAAAATATACAATAAAATAAAATAAAAATAAAAAATAAAATAATTAAAATAAAATTGAAATGAAATGAAATAAAAATTAAAAAAATAAAAAATATTAAAATAAAGTTAAAAATAAAAAATATACTATACTATACTATACTATACTATAGTAAATTAATTAAATTAAATTAAATTAAATTAAATTAAATTAAATTATTAAATTAAATTAAATTAAATTAATTAAATTAAATTGAAACTAACTAAACTAAACTAAACTAAACTAAAAATAAACAAGCTCAGCCCGGCCTTTCAAAAGTAACATCTACCGCTTTATTGTCGTTCTTTAAAGAGTATACAGTAGGAACTCGGTGGAAAACGCGAACGGGCCAGTTTCCGGAGCAGAGCTACTACGCCCACCGCTGCCGACCAACGTCGGGAATTGGAACCGGACACCCCCAGCCTCTCCTCCCAAATTCTACGCTGGCTATAAATAACGAAATAGCTTTGCCTACGTGCAGTTCAGGCTGGTAAGATGGACCAAGGAGGGGCTAGGACGCAGCCCCCCCCGAGAGATCCAGAAGATTCCGGGGGGGGCGTATCTTCTGACCCTCGGAGACGGACCAGGAGACCCTCCTCTGTCTTTGCAGGGACGAACTCCCGCTCTCTGTTTTTCAAGTCGTACGTTTGGCGGTGTCCCGTAGCGAAACCGGGGTCCCCGTACCGATCACACCGCGGCGGGAGGCACCGTTCGCAGAACCTGCCCTCCTCTTCCTCCGTTTCCAGGCTCCTTCTCCCCCGTGGGACGGCCCTTGGAGACTGGCCAAGGGTTAACACCGAGAGGGAGGGGGATAAGCCAAATCGTTGCCCCTTGTATGTAGCCCCTCTAAACTGGCACTGCGGGCAGCTACTCCGCCTACGGGCACTCATCCCGATTTTCCACCCTCTCTGGAGCTTTTCCTACGGAATACTCGCTCGCCCCCCATTTTGCTCCATCTCGGGAGCTTTTCCAGAACTTGAGGACAGCCATTTGTCCGGCGTTCTGCTTGGGTAGGGGGATTGGACTAGAAGACCTCCGAGGTCCGTTCCAACTCTTGTCGGGTCTGCGTTCCGAGTATTCCCGCACTCCGCAACAGAGCTCAGAGCTCCCGAGTCTCTCCGAATACCGGCTCAATCCTACACAGCTATAGTGTCTCCTCCCCAGCTCTCAGGGACCCCAGGCCAAGGTGCCAGGGGCTGGGGTCCCTCTCACCCACGCCCAGAAAGAAAGGCATCTTCTACCCAACATCCAGGGGCTCAGGGACACACCTTGGAGGCAGGAAGGACTTCCGCGTGGCTCGAGACGCCTGTGCGCAAATGTCGAGGGTGGGAGGGAGAGAGAGACGCACAGACGCGGTGCACCAGCAGCAGAGAGATCCCCCCTCCTCTAATTTGGCTGCTGGATCTGTTGGGCTGGGTATCCTGGGCGGAGAACCGCTTCCATCTCGGCCGCGGTGATGTTTCTGTGGCTGCGTTGATGCGCCCGCATGTTGGAGCCTTGGCTGAAGACGCGCGGGCAGAGCGGGCAGGCGTAGGGCTTCTCGCCCGTGTGGAGGCGCTCGTGCGAGACCAGGTTCGACTTCTGGGAGAAGCGCTTCGGGCAGCGGCTGCAGGCGTACGGCTTCTCCCCGGTGTGGATCCGGATGTGGGCCACCAGGTAGGGCTTGCATCGGAACTGCTTGGCGCACACCGGGCAAACGAAGGGGCGGTCGATCACCGGCTGGGGCGAGGGCGGAGGAAGGATGCCGGCCAGCTGGGGCAACGGCGTGGTTCCCCGGACGCAGGGCAGGAAGGCCTCTGCAGCCGGGCGTGCGTGCTGGAAGGGGTCCAGGCCCAGAGATTCGGGGGACGGGCGCTGCTGGCTGGAGAACGGCTCCCCGTTGAAGGCCTCGAGGGGGTGCGGGCTGCCGTGGGCCAGGGGCTCCCGCGAGTGAATTTTCTGGTGGGAGATGAGGTTGGGCTTGTGGCGGAAGCTCTTCCCGCACTGGACGCAGACGTACGGCTTCTCGCCGGTGTGGATGTGTTGGTGGGAGGCCAGGTAGGCCTTGCTGCCGAAGGACTTGCCGCACTCCTGACACTGGTAGCGCCGCTCGCCGGTATGCACTTGCCGGTGGGCCAGCAGGTTGGGCTTGTGTCGGAAGCTCTTGCCGCACTGCGCGCAGGCGTACGGCCGGTCAGTGGCCAGGTGGGCCAACGCCTCCGCCTTGGGCACCGAGCCGGCGATCCCCTCGGCGGCCATGTGGGCCATCTGGTGGGTGACCAGCTCCTCCCAGCCGTGGAAGCTCCAGCCGCACTGATCACAGATAAACTCCCCGTTGCTCAGAAGGCCGGGCGCCTGGTGGCCGGGTAGAGGCTGGGGCCCGTAGCCGAGGGCCCAAGGGTTGAAGCTGGCCGCTGGCGGGCCCTGCTGATGCAAGGCCATCTCCGGCCAGAAAGGCAGCGTGCCCTCGCCCTGGCTGCTGGGGAAGGGGCTGGCCCCGGTGCCCGTCTCACCCTCCTGGGGCCCAGCCAGATCTGTGGCGTGTGGCGAGCGTCCGGCTGCCGGGGGGACGGTCCGGGACCACTTGCGGACGTGGAGACGACGGTGGGCAGCCAAGGCGATGCGTCCCAAGAAGCTCCTTCGGCACTTGGGGCACTTGTAGGGCTTCTCCCGCTTCCGAGGGCTGGCCTTCGGCTCCGGGCTGGCCTCCCCTTCCCCTGAAGGGGGCGCCCTTCCTCCGGCCTTCGAAACCGGCCTCTTGGGCTTCTTAACCGCCGTCGAGGAATGGGGGACGGCGCGGGGCTTCTTCGTCTCCTCGGAAACCCCTGGCAGACCCTCGGTGGCGTTCTCCTCCTGCTCCGCTCTCACAGCTGCAACGAGACACATCGCCCGGAGGGGGGTGTTGAACCCAGCACATCTGGGGAAGCTCTGACACAGGAACCCCCCCCACACACACACACACCTCGCTGGCTGGAGATTTCGTCCCCCCCCTTCTGGAGCTGCTTCCTGGGTGTGTTTGCACCACAAAAAGAGAGATTCCATCCCCTCCTGACTTTGGGGATCCCCTCGCCCACAAAGTCCAGATGGGATATTTCTTTCTTTCTTTCTTTCTTTCTTTTTCTTTCTTTCTTTCTTTCTTTCTTTTTCTTTCTCTCTCTCCCTCTCTCCCTTCCTTCCTTCCTTCTTTCTTTTATCTTTTTCTCTTTCCTTTCTTTCTTTCTTTCCTTTCTTTTCTTCCTTCCTTCCCTTTTCTTTCTCCCTTTCCTTCCTTCTTTTTCCATTTTCTTTTCCTTCATTTTTTCTTTCTTTCTTTCTTTCTTTCTTTCTTTCTTTCTTTCTTTCTCTTTCTTTCTTTCTATTTTCTCTTTATTTTCTTTCTCCTTCCTTCGTCTTTTCTTTTATTTCCTTCCTTCCTTTCTTCCCTTTCTATTTTTTTCCTTCCTTTCTGTCTTTTCTTTTTCTCTTCATTGTCTTTCTCCTTCCATCCTTTTTTCTTTCTCTTTTCTTTCCCTTCCTTTTTTTCTTTCTCTTTTCTTTTTCTCTCGATTCTTTCTTTCCTCTCCTTTCTGTCTTTTCTTTTTCCTTTCTTTGTTTCCTTCCTCTTCTTTTTTTCCTTCCTTTTTTCTCTTTGCCTTCTTTTTCTCTTTCTTTCCTCCGTCTATTTTCTATTCTTTCTTTCTTCTCTTTCCTTCCTTTCTTTTCTGTCTTTTCTTTTTCTCTATTCTTTCTTTCCTTCCTTCCTTCCTTCTTTTCTGTCTTTCCTTTTCCTTCCTTCCTTCCTCCTTCCCTCCCTATTTATATTTCATATTTCTAAACCCCGCATCTCCACAAACCCCTAGCAAACCCCATCTTTGCCTCTTGGCGTCCAGGGAAGAAATGACCCCATCCAGGCAGAATCATCCCACAACACCCTGAGCCCGTGCAGAATCACAGAGACCCAATGGTGGGATTCAGCTGGTTCGCACCAGTTGAGCAGAACCGGAAGCTAAAATTTGCTGACTTCAGAGAACCGGCTGAATGCACACTGCTTCTGGAAGTCTGTTCTAGGCCTCGGAGGCCTGGAGGAGGCCTGTCAGGCCTAGAACGGCCCGCCAGAAGTGCATGGATGCCACTTCCGGAAGTCCGTTCTAAGCCTCGGAGGTCTGGAGGAGACCTCCCAGGCCTAGAACGGCCCGCTGGAAGTGCGTGGATGCCACTTCCGGAAGTCTGTTCTAGGCCTCAGAGGCCTGGAGGAGGCCACCCAGGCCTAGAACGGCCCACCAGAAGTGCGTGGATGCCACTTCCGGAAGTCCATTCTAAGCCTGGGAGGCCTGGAGGAGGAGGCCTCCCAGGCTTAGAAAGGCCCACCAGAAGTGCATGGATGCCACTTCCGGAAGTCCGTTATAGGACTCGGAGTCCTGGAGGAGGCCTCCCAGTCCTAGAACGGCCCACCAGAAGTACATGGATGCCACTTCCGGAAGTCCATTCTAAGCCTCGGAGGCCTGGAGGCCTCCCCAGCCTAGAACAGCCCACCGGAAGTGTGTGGATGCAACTTCCGGAAGTCCGTTCTAGGCTTCGTAGGCCTGGAGGAGGCCTCCCAGGCTTAGAAAGGCCCACCGGAAGTGCATGGATGCCACTTCCGGAAGTCCGTTCTAGGACTCGGAGTCCTGGAGGAGACCTCCCAGGCCTAGAACGGCCCACCAGAAGTACATGGATGCCACTTCCGGAAGTCCATTCTAAGCCTCGGAGGCCTGGAGGAGGCCTCCCAGGCTTAGAAAGGCCCACCGGAAGTGCATGGATGCCACTTCCGGAAGTCCGTTCTAGGACTCGGAGTCCTGGAGGAGGCCTCCCCAGCCTAGAACGGCCTGCCAGAAGTGCGTGGATGCCACTTCCGGAAGTCGGTTCTAAGCTTCGGAGGCCTGGAGGAGGCCTCCCAGGCCTAGAACGGCCCGCCGGAAGTGCGTGGATGCCACTTCCGGAAGTCCGTTCTAGGCCTCAGAGGCCCAGGCCTGCATCCAATAAGAGAACCGGTTGCTCAAGTATTTGAATCCCATCACTGCAGAGACCCCTCCCACACACCAATGCCCTGCCCGGAACCTCCTCCCCCCCCCCCGTTTACCTGGGCTGTCTCCGTCCTGCTCCGGGGATGGCACGGTCCCGATCCGGGGCACTTCACCTCGTGCCAGCTGGCACAGCAATTCAGGGATGGCCAGCAGGCATTCTGTAGAGGGACAAAAGCAGAAACAGGTGTTGGGGGGGGCAAGCAACAGCCCAAAAGACTCACCCTCTTTTTTCGAACCTCCCCCCCTTGTTGCCTTTGGTAAAATCGTCCACAATCCTAGGATTGCGTAAACGGAGGCACAGAATCAAGCAACAAAGATGATTAGGGGACTGGAGGCTAAAGCATATAAGGAACGGTTGCTGGAATTGGGTCTGTCTAGTTTAAGGAAGAGAAGGACGAGGGGGGACAGGATAGCAGCCTTCCAGTATCTCAGGAGTTGCCACAAAGAAGAGGGAGTCAGGCTATTCTCCAAGGCGCCTGAAGGCAGGACAAGAAGCAACGGATGGAAGCTAATCAAGGAGAGAAGCAACCTAGAACTAAGGAGAAACTTCCCGACAGTCAGAACAATTATCCAGTGGAACCACCTGCCTCCAGAAGCGGTGAATGCTCCAACACTGGAAGTTTTTAAGAAGAGAGTGGACAGCCATTTGTCCGAAATGGTCTAGGGTTTCCTGCCTGAGCAAGGGGTTGGACTAGATGACCTCCAAGGTCCCTTCCAACTTTATTATTATTATTATTATTATTATTATTAATTATTATTATTATTATTATTATTATTACCACCACTTTATAAAAACCCTAGCGAGGCCACACCTGGAATATTGCAGCCAATTTTGCTCCCCGTATCAGAAAAAAGAGATGGGAGAGTTTGGAAAAAAAAAATTCAGAGAAGGGCAACTAAGAGGATCCGAGGCCCGGAGGCTAAAACATAGGAAGAACGGCTGCGTGATTTGGGGTTTGGCCGGTCTAAAGAAAAGAAGAAATAGGGGAGACAGTTATTCCGATATTTGAGAGGCTGCCCCAAAGAAAAGGGGGTCAGCTTATTCTCCAAAGCACCAGAGAGGGCAGGATGAGAAACAAGGGTTGGAAACTGATCAAAGAGAGAAGCAACCTGTAATTAAGGAGGCACTTCCTGACAGTGAGGGCAGTGAACCGGTGGAACAGCTTGCCACCAGAAATCGTGGGCGCTCCATCCCTGGAGGTTTTTAAGAAGAGGCTAGAGACAGTCCCTTGTCTGAGACAGTATAGGTCCTCCTTCCTATACTTCTATAAAGGTCTCTTGCTTAAGCAGGGGGTTGAACTAGATGACCTCTGAGGTCCCTTCCAACTCTACCATTCTATGATTCTGTAAGGGTCTCCTGCTTGGGCAGGGGGTCAGACTAGATGACCTCCAAGATCCCTTCCGGCTCCTTGATTCTGTAAGGGTCTCCTGCTCGGGCAAGGGGTCGGACTAGATGACCTCCAAGGTCCCTTCCGGCTCTGTGATTCTGTAAGGGTCTCCTGCTCGAGCAGGGGGGGTCGGACTAGATGACCTCCGGGGTCCCTTCCGGCTCTGTGATTCTGTAAGGGTCTCCCGCTCGAGCAGGGGGGTCGGACTAGATGACCTCCGAGGTCCGTTCCGACTCTGATCCGTCTGTGATTCTGTAAGGGTCTCCTGCTGGAGCCGGGGGGGGGGGTCGGACTAGACGACCTCCGAGGTCCCCCCTTCCCGCTCTTTGATATTCGATGATTCTCTGCCCCGGTTCTCCATTTGGGCAGCCCCAGGGCGTCCCCCTCCAGCCCACCCCGAGGCAAAGGGGGCGACCGGGCGGGCTTTACCCAACGAGGAGACCAGCTGGTAGTTCTCCACCATGACGCCGCGGTACAGATCCTTCTGCCATCCGGCCAGCTCTGCCCACTCCTCGGCCGAAAAGCAGACAGCCACGTCGGCGAAGGTCGCGGGCACCTGTCAGAAGGAGAGGCAGGTGAGGGGGCGCCTTAGGGAGAAGGGCCTTGGGTGGTGGTGGGGGGGGGGGGGGGGGGGGGGGGGGGGGGGGGGGGGGGGGGGGGGGGGGGGGGGGGGGGGGGGGGGGTGGGGTCCCGCCCTGGTTCCATCACAGCCAGGCAGAGAGATAGAGAGATAGAATAGAATAGAATAGAACAGAATAGAAAATAGAACAG